TCTGTTCACATGAGAAGGAACGTTCACGTACTTAAGGTTTTACATCAGGCAAAACCGAAGCTGCGTAAAGCAATGTTAAAACATTTAGAGCCGAGTTGCGTTAAGGCGATCTGTGATTGTGTATTGAATATATTGAAAAATGTAGTTAAGATGTCACCAGTTCAAAAGAGGAAGCTAGCTAAGCACAAAGATCATTTAAGGCTGCTTGTCAAGAAAGGCACTCCATTGAAAAAGAGACGACAAACGATTGTTCAAAAAGGCGAAGGCTTTCTTACTTTAGTGTTGGGACCTGTTTTAAAAGAACTAGCGTCCCTCATAGAATAGAGACATGAAACATTCACAAAAAATGATATTGGTACCGGAAAATAATTTGGATAATTACTTACGTCAACAACGCTTAACGACCCCGCCGACTGTGACAAAAATGGCACAATTAGATGGTGAAATGAAAACTGTTTTAGACAGGGATGACACTTCCCAGGATGAAAAAGCAAAGCTCTACAGTCAAATATTAGAGAACTATCTTCATTTCAAAGGGAAGCGAAATGTCGAGGCTCAAAACCAGTACCCCTATAGCTTTTGCAGGGGATGCGGAAAAAAATGCAGTGGCAAGTGTTCCCACTACACGGGAGGCGATTAACAAGGAGCAAAGCGTTGGCTCTATTGTCGAAATTCTTCCGAAAACACTTCAATCAAAAGCCAAAATGATTTTAGAAAAAATTAAAGATAATCCTCAAGTCCTAAGTTGGAATGAAAAAGGCGAACTGAAATATCAAGGGGAAACAGTGCCAAATACCAATATTACAAACTTAGTTAGCGATTCTCTTAGGCACAGAAAAAATAATAAACCGAACGTATTTGAATTATTTACAAAAGGTCTTCAGCAAATTAATCTTCCGGAAGATTTAATTCGCAACCCTGAACGACTACAACTCTTTAAAACTTACGGTTATGAACAAAATCAAGCAGAAAGGTCCAAGGATGAAACTTATAGGAAAAAAAGGGCAAAAAAAGAAACCTGCACAGTGGTTGACAAACTTTTAAATTACTTGATATATTTTTAAGAAATCAGTGTAAAAAAGAAATTGTTGTGAATAAATTTGTTGTGAAAAATTATGTTGTGTACTTTTTGAATAATTGCCCATTAGGTTCGTTAATAGCAAAACCTTAAAAATTACTGCAGGTGGATCGAGAGTTTCGTTCATATTCTTTTATTACATGTGGTGGTTCTTATAAGAACCGTTTTTTGTTCAGGAAATCCAGCGTTTCATAGCCACCCGTGTACAAAACTGACGTTCGTTGTTTTTTTTCGACGTCTCTGGAGGGGGAGAATTCTGCATTCCTTCCAGTCATGTCTCTCGACTTTGCCCACGCTGGACTTCCTGCTGCTCTTGCCATCGCCTGTGGGCACGTTGTGCCCTTCTTTTCTCGAAATCACTTTTCCTTTTCTCAGTGTTGTCCATCCTGATGTATGGTACTAATGCTATAGAACGGGACCCACACAATCTGGCTTATTTATGCAAAGCATCCCCTCAAACGCTAAAAAAAGAGCGGCATGGCTGACAAACTTCGTAGACAATCATTCCCGGTCGTTACTCTTTCGGTTCGCTTGTTAAGTAGCGTGTATTGTTATCGAAATGCGACGCTGGTAAACAGTCATTACTCTTTCAATGCAGGCAATACGCTTGTTAACTAGCGTGCATTGTTGTCGAATGCGACGGCGATCAACATCGAATTTCGTTTATAATTCTTTCAAAAAAAGGAGAGAAAAAAGTGATGGGTCGTCGGTAGCATGAATGACCAGATAATCAATTGCCCAGAGTTAGATTTGGCATAGGTTCTGCAAGTCGGTAAAAATTTAGAGACCACGCACATACAAGTCGTTAAAATTTTAATGACCACCCACCTGCAAGTCGTAAAATAGTGTTTGGGCGCGTGCCTGCGTGCGTATAAAAGTTGCAGACCGAGTACAGAGTTGTTATAGTTGAGACGTGCTTAATACAACTCATTGGTGTAAGAACAACTTCGACCGCCGGGGTGCTGGCCCGTGTGCTAGAGTCGTTCACGACGATGGAAGAGAATGTCTATACTACATGGGAAAGTGTACTGGATACATTAAGCCCTACTGAACTAGAACGCTTGGAAAACAACGCAATTTTAGAATGTGCCATTCGGGGTAAGTCCACGTACGCCAATGGTTTATGAACAAATCCTAAACTTATAGGGACATTTTGTTTTAACAAACGCGAATTTCATTCGTCTTGCAGATGATCTATTTGAACATCTCACAGCAAGTCATTGGCAAAGTATTGATGCTGCTATCAGAGAAAATATTGGTAGGTTATTAGCTAGGCAATTGTTGTGAGATGCTATTTTCTGTGACATGCAGTTTTATTAAAGTTTTATTGTAGGTTATCGTTGTGAAGAGTGCGAAAAGGTTTATCGTCATTTGCCAAATCTTTCAAGGCATAAGCGATTACACCACGGGCTAGCATCCGATGGACGCCGAAATAAGAGAGAAATTGGTAAGTAAAGTCAGTGAATTATTCCTCGGACTGCGACTGAAATATAATTTTGAATTTCTGAACTGAACTGAAATATGTCTTTCTAGATGAAACAGAACAGACAACAAATAAGCGTCCCAGAGCAGATCAAACTTGCGACCAGGAAGGCAATGGACAACCTGCTGATGAAGATCCAATCAACGAGGAAGGGGGTGATTTGTCAGAGGATGATGTATCAGATGATCCACCCAAATGGAACGTCGAGCTTGAAGAGCTGCTACGTCGTTACGAACCACTAATCAACGTTGGACATCGCATTCATCCAAGGCAAGCCATTTATAATTTCAGAGTAGATGATAACTTTGTGTTCGATCAGTTAGTTGATGAACTGCGAAATATTTATCGTCAACACCGTAATGCTTTTAAAATCAATTTAAATTTCAGTTTTGTTTTACGAAATATCGAAACTGGTGAACTGAGGTTTTTTTATGCCTCGAATAACACCGCCATGCTTGATAGGCCTATGTTAATACATGATAATGCGAGTTTTAGGGACTTTATAGAGGTCCTACGTACCTTAGATATTTTAGAATGGGTCAGAAATCATCGACCCAACAGCAAATGGGTTTTCTTTAAATTAGTTCAAACCTTACTTACGGTCACTAGGCTTAATTTTCCCATCGGTTCTGGTATAGAATTACCTCATTACATAACCGCAAACGAGGCTATTGTAAGTGTAATCAGGGAATCGACATTCGGGTGAAGCTTATAACGACAATCTCTGTTTGCTTCGGTGCCTCGCTTTGCATCAAAGGGAGGGCGAAAGACATTTTAGACGTGCTACGAACGCAAATTTCGAGCTGTATCTCCAGGAAATCAGCTTGGCTCCGGAGGATTTTGACGGGGTAGATATAAGTGACCTGTACATAGCGGAGGAACTTTTCCAAGTGTCCATTGAGGTATATTCAATTGATGAACACGGTCAGGCATTTTGTATTCGGCGTTCTGCAAAAGATTTTCCTCAAATGTACGTGAATCGTTACGAAAATCATTTCAGTTTTATTGGAGATATTAAAGCTTACTGTGACTGTTTTGTATGTACCAAATGTGATAAAATTTTTAACACTCCTTACCGATTACATAGACACGAACGCACTTGCGATACCAATGTGAAACATAAACTTCCGGGTGGAACTTTTCGAGTAAACAAGACGGTATTTGAAGAGCTTGAAGATCTAGGTTTTGAATTTGAACCAAGCGACAAATTTCACCCTTATTTTTCTACCTGGGATTTGGAAAGTTTTCAAGTTGAAAGTTCTAATGAGGCAGAAGAGCATAGAGCACTCCAATGGCTTTCAGAGCATGTACCTGCTTCGATTTCGGTTGCAAGTAACGTTCCCGGTTACGAAAGTGTCAAATGTTTCGTAACCACAGGGGATGAAAAACGACTAGTCAGTGATTTTGTGGATTACTTACTTGAGATAAGTGACTTGAGCTACCGTCTACTTCGCGAAAAGTACGAGGATGTATTTTCCCAATTGGAAATTATGATTCGGAATTTACCTGAGGATGATGAGAAAGGCAGAGCAGATATTTTGAAACTCAAAAAACGATTTGATCTTTTTCTTTTTGAATTTGCTGTCGTAGGGTTTAATGCGTCTCGTTACGATATAAATGCCATTCGCAAGTCGTTCTTTAAGATACTCCAAAGTGTCGAGTCAGAGGAAGATTTAGAAACAAACGGAATTGACTTCGTAGTGAAACGGAATAACGCATACATGTGCTTGAAAACAGCGCGTTTGAAATTCGTAGATATTTGCAACTACCTTGCGCCGGGATATAGCTATGCTGACTTTTTAAAAGCGTACGGTTGCAGTGCTCAAAAAGGCTTTTTTCCGTACGAGTGGTTTGACAATGTTGAAAAGTTAGAGTTTGACCGGCTTCCCCCGCACGAGGCATTTTTCAGCGCTTTAAAAAACGCTAACATCACTGTAGAAGAAGTTCTGCTCTGCGATATGGTGCGATAAAAATATGGAAAGTTTTCGC